TATGACCAAACAAGGAGCCGATACCAAAACCTGGTCTACTGAGGCTTTATCTGCTTTCGAAACGCTCAAACAGTCTTTTGCCTCAGCACCTGTATTAGTTCATCCTGATACCTCTCTACCCTTTTTACTTGAAGTTGATGCGTCTGAAACAGGGATAGGCGCAGTGTTGTCCCAAAGACAAAGTTTAGATAAGCCGCTGCACCCTTGCGGTTTTTTTTCCAAGAAACTATCACACACTGAAAGGAGATATGACATTGGTGATAGAGAACTTTTAGCTATCATTATGGCATTAAAGGAATGGAGACATTTGTTAGAGGGCACTGTCCTCCCAGTTACTATCTTGACTGACCACAAAAATTTATCGTATATGGGGGAGGCCAAAAGATTATCTGCCAGGCAGGCTCGTTGGTCTATGTTCCTTACACACTTTAATTATATGCTTACTTACAGGCCTGGTTCTAAGAACACTAAGGCAGACGCTTTGTCACGTCAGCACGAACCTATCACCTCTACAGAGGACACCTTGTTCCCTATTATTCCTGAAGTCAATATTATCGCCAACACCAATGTCAAAATACACTCTCCATTGCTCGCTTATATTATGAACGAACAATCTCTTGCTCCCGAACGTACTCCTGTGGGCCGCTTGTTCGTGTCTCCCAAATTCCAAGTGGACATTATTCGCTGTTTTCACGATAGCAAGTTCGCTGGTCACCCCGGCATCCACAAAACTTACTGCCTGATCTCCAAAGACTTCTGGTGGCCCGGTTTACGTAGGGATGTGGAAGACTTTGTCAAGGCTTGCAATGTTTGTGTCAGGAATAAACTTCCGCGGGATCTCCCTTGTGGTTTATTGCAGCCCTTAGTCGTTCCCAACAAACCTTGGGCTTGTTTGGCTATGGATTTTATTGTTGATCTACCTGCTTCCAGTAGGCATACGGTTATCCTCACGGTCCTTGACAGGTTTACTAAAATGGCTCATTTCATTCCCTTGCCTAAACTTCCGTCCTCTCCTGAACTGGCCGTGATATTTGCTAGAGAAATTTTCCGTTTACATGGTATTCCCAATGAGATTGTGTCAGACAGGGGTTCCCAATTTATTTCCCGTTTTTGGAGATCCTTCTGTTCCCAGTTGGGCATCAAACTGAATTTTTCTTCGGCCTATCATCCTCAATCTAACGGAGCAGCCGAACGCACTAACCAAAAAATTGAGCAATATCTACGTTGTTTTGTTTCTGAACACCAGGATGACTGGGTCGGTCTGATTCCTTGGGCGGAGTTTGCTCACAACAACCTTGTTTGTGGTTCCACTCGTAATAGCCCCTTTTTCTTGAACTATGGCTTTAACCCTACTGTTCTTCCGTCGGTGTCTCCTTCCCAGGGTATACCGTCGGTTGATATTCATATAGCCAACCTGAGAATGTTGTGGGATCAGACTCGACAAATTCTTGAACGTAGTTCTGCGGTGTTTAAGTCACATGCTGATAGGCGTAGGCGGCCTGCTCCTATTTTTTCTCCGGGTGATAGGGTCTGGTTGTGTACCAGACACATTCGCCTGAAAGTTCCTTCCTTGAAGTTTGCTCCTCGTTACATTGGTCCTTACAGGGTGCTGAGGAGGATCAACCCGGTTTCTTATTTGCTGGATCTACCTCCTACTCTACGCATCCCTAACTCTTTTCATGTGTCTTTATTGAAACCTCTTGTTTGTAACAGATTTTCCTCCCGCTCTGCTCCTCCATCCTCGGTCCGTGTGGATGGTCAGGAGGAATATATCATCAAGTCCATCCTTGATTCTCGTATTTCTAGGGGGAAGCTGCAATACCTCATAGACTGGAAAGGTTATGGTCCAGAAGAGAGGTCTTGGGTTCCTGGTATAGACGTGCATGCTCCTCGTCTTCTTCGGGCCTTCCACGTTCGTTTTCCTTCTAAGCCCGGTCCCATCCGCCCGGTGGGCGTTTCTAGAAGGGGGGGTACTGTCAGGGTACCTGTTGGTGCTGAATCCAGGGAAGACATCCTCTCTGTTTAGGGGCTCCCTGCCCCTAGCATTTCGGCATATTCCGGCCGTTTTCGCGCCGGCCGCGCTAGCTCCTCCCCCTTTTATGACGCGACGGCTAGCGTCGACGTCATGACGTCGGCATTTACATAAAGTGCCGGGAACCGCTATTCCGGACCTTTTGGGGGCGTGGTCTCTATTTAGGTAACAGGGTATTTAAAGGAAACCTTTACTACTACTCATTGCCCTGTCGTGGTTCTAGCTTGCTAGTCACTCAGCGCGTTCTTTATCTTGTGTTTCCGGTTTTGACCCTTGCTTGTCTTTTGTCCTGTTGTCCTCTCCTCTCCTTTGACTCGGCTTGTATCTCGCTTACCTGTCCTCCGGCTCCCTCGACCTCGGCTTACCTTTTGACTATTCTTGCTTTGTCCCTACGTTAGTCCGGCCATTCTAAGGTCCGGTATACGTACCTCCTTCTGTCCGCACTCTGCGTATTGGATCCCTGTCAGTATCCTGACAGTTGGACACTGAGCTATTCTGTAGGCACTTTGCAGGCCTCAGGCCCCCAACTTGTGCAGTATGCTCATCAGCAACCCACAGCACAAATTTCTGCCCTAATACAGCTGAGGTAGAACAAAACCAAGCAGCAACTAACCCCCCCAAGATCAAATAAAGGTTTGAAAGATAAACTAGGAAGAGATATTGTCTTCTTAGGGAAATCCCAAGTATGTAACAATTTTAATGCTGGCAATTGTGGTTTTAGTTCCTGTAGACTAATGCATGTTTGTTCACATTGTTTCAGGGCTCATTCCAAGACAATGTGCCCAAATAAAGCTTTCCCAAAACCCTATCTCACATGCGTGAACCTCAGCTTATTCACCGATTTGCTACGTCTCGACACTTCAGCGACTATCTCATAACAGGATTATCGGAGGGATTTCACACAGGGTTGATACATTTACCTACAGGCACACTGGAATGTGACAACTTACTTTCCACACGGGATGACCCACAGCTGGTACATAAACTTATCACAACCGAGGTGAAACAAGGTTTTTGCTGGGTCCATTCCTTTCACCACCCTTCAATTCTTGGAGAACCAATCCCATTGGGATTGTCACGGGGAAAAACTCACTTAAACCCAGGCTGATCATTGATTTATCCGCACCACATTCCTCCACGGTCCCTAGCCTAAATTCACTTATACCATCTGAAGAGTTTTCACTACATTACGCCACTATCGACCATGCCATCGGGGCTATCATTAAAGCTGGCACAGGGGCATGGTTAAGCAAAACGGATGTAGTGAATGCCTTCTAACTACTGCCTATGCATCCTACACTTTGGCACCTTCACGGCATTAAATGGGAAGGGCTATACTATTTCTTCACTCGTCTCACTTTTGGCTCTAAGAGCAGCCCGCGTATTTTCGACACATTTGCAGAGGCTTTATGTTGGTTGTTGCTAAATGTTTACAAATGTCCCTCTGTGATTCACTATTTAGACGATTTCCTCACAATTGAGAACAACACAAGTCCACCCACAAGTTTAAAACATATGTTGGCATTATTTGAGTCACTTTCTGTTCCAGTCTCCCCACACAAGACCCTGGGGCCCGCCACCCAGGTGCAATTTTTAGGGATACAACTAGAAACAGTACACATGCAGGCTAGCCTCCCTCATGAGAAAATTGAGCGTATCCTGGCAAGTATTGACCACTACCTACAGCAGGGTCGTTGCACTAAGAAAGACCTACAATCATTGCTGGGATCGCTTAATTTTGCAATGAGAATCATTCCCCAGGGGAGATAATTTATTTCACATTTGCTATCACTATATCCACAATAAACATCAGACACATCTTACATTTCACTAGACAACCATGCAACATCCGATTTGAGCATGTGGAGGATTTTCCTCACTTCTTGGAATGGGCGTGCCATGTTTATACCATCTCACTCAGATACAATATGGACAGACGCTGCAGCAAACATGGGGTTTGCAGCCATATGGGGTGACCTATGGCTCGTGGGGCCATGGCCAACTGAGGTCAAATCACTCACAAAATTCACAGAGACCTCAGCTTCATTCGAATTGTACCCCATCGTGGCTGCGGCCGTTACCTGGGGCCGCCAGTGGTCCGGTCACACGGTGTGGTGCTATTCTGATAATATGGCTACTTGCCATATTGTCAATAAAGGCCGGTCATCATCCCTGGTAATTATGAGGCTATTGAGACGACTCACATGGGTAGCAGCCACTTGTCAATTCTTTCTAACATGTATTCACGTTCCAGTGTGCACAAACATCAGTGCTGATCACTTGTCTCGATTTCAGGAATTCTTCACGACACTACCCACGGCCTCCAGACGGGCAACTCCAGCCCCACTTTTCACAGACATGATAATGGATTAAAAGCTTTGTTAAATCACGCACGTCACATTTCTCACCTGGCACTCTCTGTAACACTAGAAACACTTACGACAGAGCTTTTCACATTTTCAAAAAATTCATCACTGAATTTCACATTCACGATATGTTCACGATAGAATCAATATTGGGTTTCACTTCTTTTTGCCACATCAACCTTAAACTATCATTTAACACTATAAAACTATACCTTACGGGAATTCAACACCACATGCTTATTCAACAACCCAACGCCACGAGTTTCCTGTCCTCATATCAAATCAAGACAGTTCTTAGAGGCATTAAGAAATTAGATACACATATCCCCGGGAAACGACTACCTATTGATAACCATATATTAATAAAATCAGCCATATATCTTGCTTTTTATGGATTCCTCCGTCCCAACGAATTCACAACTAGGACTATCACGTCCCCTGATTACCTAAGAACTATGGACTTAGCGAAACAGAATGACCATTACCTACTCATGCTAAAACACTCAAAAACCAGCACCATAGGTCATACCGTTACGATCCCCTTGTACCCTACTCATAACAAATGGTGCCCTGTACAACATTTTGACAATTATCTACTATCACTCCACAACAGGGGTGTACTTAGAGCATTTGGCACCCGGGGCGGATCCTGTGCTTGGCACGGGGGGTGCCAAGCACAGGATCCGCCCCGGGTGCCAAATGCTCTAAGTACATCCCCCCTAAAAAAAAAAAAACCTGTAAAATTTTTTAAAGGTTCTCTTTTTTTTTACAATTTGTAAAGACTCCTGTCCCAATACAAAACCCCCGCCCCTTCTACAAAATCCCTGCAGCCCCACACACACATTTACAGGCAGACAGTCACACACTCAGTTACAGGCAGACAGTCACATACAGTCACAGGCAGACAGTCACACATACACATTTCCTCCGTGCGGCCAGTTTATTGCTTGTGTGAGCTGTACTGCCGCACGGCACCCTAACTACCATGGGACACTGTGCGGCCACAGCTCACACAGCCCCTTCCAGCCAGGGCCGGTGCAAGGATTTTTGCCGCCCTAGGCAAAAGTAAAGTTTGCCGCCCCCCCCATGTGACATCACAATGCCCCACCCATATGATTTGCCATGTTAACTAACGCCAGTGCTGCAGTGCCACCGTGTTTACATTGAAAGGCCTGCAGGGACAGACTATAGACACCAGAACCACTACATTAAGCTGAAATGGTTCTGGGGACTATAGTGTTTCTTTAATGTGAGGTAAATTAGAGCTTAGTGCCACGAATAATATACTAGATTGCCTACTTACAACCAGATGAGGATGATGATGAGCTCTAGCTGCAGTCTAGCTCCACTGGTCTGGTGCAGAACAGGCTCTCTGGAGGCGGTTTGTAACTGTGGTCACAAAAATCAATGTTCTGGGAGAACGGGAAGCAGCTCCATTTTTTGGGGGTCCTTTACACAGCTCAAGGTCTGGGTCCCAGGTCCACCTTCATGTTCCACCAATGAGTTTGTTCACAGGGGGTGGAGTGTGTAGGGGATGTCCTGATATGTGTGTAAGGAATGCATTGTGTGAAATTGTGTTTATATATGTGTAAGGGCTGCAAGGTGTGTTTCTGTGTATGTACGGGATGCATTGAATGTGTGTAAGGGGTGCATTGAGTGTGTGTAATGAATGCATTGTGTGTTTCTGTGTGTAAGGGATGCATTGTGTGTAACGGTTGCATTGCTTGTGTCTGTGTGTCTGTGTGTGTAATGCATTGTGTGTTTTTCTGTGTGCAAGGGGTGCATTGTGTGTATGTGATGAATGTCAATCTCTCCTCCCGCTCCAATTTCCTTCTCCTCCTCCCAATTTCTCTTTCCCCCCTCCTTTCTAATTCTCATCCCCCCCTCCTTTCCCTTTCTCACACCCCTCCTTTCTCCTCTTTCTCACCCCCTCCTTTCTCTTCCCCCCTCCTTTCTCCTCTTTCTCACCCCCCCTTTCTCTTTCTCACCCCCCCTTTCTCCTCTTTCTCACTCCCCCTCCTTTCTCCTCTTTCTCTCCCCCTCCTTTCTCCTCTTTCTCTCCCCCCTCCTTTCTCCTCTCACCCCCCTTTCTCCTCTTTTTCACCCCCCCTTTCTCCTCCCCCTCCTTTCTCCCCCCCCTTTCTCCTTTCTCCCCCCTTTCTCCTCCCCCCCCTCCTTTCTCCTTTCTCACCCCCCTTTTCTCCTTTCTCACCCCCCTTTCTCCTCCCCCCTCCTTTCTCCTTTCTCACCCCCCCTTTCCTCTCCCCCCTTTCTCACCCCCCCCCTCTTTCTTCTCCCCCCTCCTTTATCACCCCCCCCTCCTTTCTCCTCTCACCCCCCTCCACTTTGCTGTGGCGTGGCTGAGCCCTGTATAGTCGGCGGGTGCAGAGGCAGCTGTCTCCTGTACCCGGCTGGACTAACAGGAAGTGAACACTCAGTGTGCACTTCCTGTTAGTCCGGCCGGGTACAGGAGACAGCTGCTCACTGTACCCGCGGACTATACTGGGCTCGGCCACGCTACAGTGAGGGAGTGACAGGAGGGAGTGACAGGAGGGAGCGCTGAGCGCTCCCTCCTGTCAGCCTCTCCTCAGGTTCTCCTCATGGACGCACCGCCCGGGCAAAGCTGCAGCCACCTGAGGCTCTCTACAGAGCACTCGGGCGGCTGCAGCATGGGGTGGGGGGGGCGGCGGGGCTGGTCATGGCACCCCCCACCCTGGTGGCACCCGGGGCGGACCGCCCCCTCCGCCCCCCCCTTAGTACGCCACTGAGCTCCTAGAAAATTGATTTGGGTCAAAAATAGGTACTGGCCCTTAATTGGGACACTTGGAAGGTATGCATTTTTCTTTGAAGAAAATCACAAAAATGTTTCCTCACTGTGTGCATGATTTACCTGTATCTCCTGTGTGTTCCAGAAACCTTTACTGATGTACCTATGTGACTGTATGTCCTGTGTGTTCCAGGAACCTTTACCATTGTGACTGTATCTCCTGTGTGTTATAGGGACCTTTACCAATGTGACTGTATCTCCTGAGTGTTCCAGAAACCTTTACTGATGTGACTGTATGTCCTGTGTGTTCCAGGAACCTTTACCGTTGTGACTGTATCTCCTCTGTGTTATAGGGACCTTTACCAATGTGACTGTATCTCCTGTGTGTTATAGCGACCTTTACTGATGTGACTGTATCTCCTGTGTGTTCCATGAACCTTTACCATTGTGACTGTATCTCCTGTGTGTTATAGGGACCTTTACCAATGTGACTGTATCTCCTGTGTGTTCCAGGAACCTTTACCATTGTGACTGTATCTCCTGTGTGTTCCAGGGACCTTTACCGATGTGACTGTATCTCCTGTGTGTTCCAGGGACCTTTACCGATGTAACTGTATTTCTTGTGTGTTCCAGGAACCTTTACAGATGAGACTGTATCTCCTGTGTGTTCCAGGAACCTTTACAGATGAGACTGTATCTGCTGTGTGTTCCAGGGACCTTTACCGATGTGACAGTATCTCCTGTGTGTTCCAGTGACCTTTACCGATGTAACTGTATTTCTTGTGTGTTCCAGGAACCTTTACAGATGAGACTGTATCTCCTGTGTGTTCCAGGAACCTTTACCGATGAGACTGTATCTGCTGTGTGTTCCAGGGACCTTTACCGATGTCACTGTATCTCCTGTTTAAAACTACTCACAATAACTGGGTGTGACTGCAGATTTCCAGGAACCAGTGCTGTCCACTGGGGACCCACCAGTACCTACAAAATCCTAATCCAAACCAAAAAGAAGAAAGGAGGATGTACAAATGGACACACCAAGAGACCCAGGAATTGATGCTCCAAAAAATATTATTATTATTAGATTATAGCCACCTCACTTTATATGCACAGACCACTTAATCATAGTGATACCAAGCTCCTAAACAAAAT